GGTGAGAGTTGTCTGACGCGACTAACAACATAAACAAGGCCCGAATGCTCAAACACTCAGTCACGATGACTTGTGACTTCGTGTTAACACAAACACTCAATTTCATTCATAGGGGTTGGGTTAACCCGCGGTATGGTTTTCAGGCACGATAACCTAACGATGGCAAATCGACCATGGTGAGATTCGAACTCATGGTCAGAAATCGAATGTGCTAACCACTCGACAAAGAAGAGGGCAAAACACATATAGATATGTTGAGGATTTTTAAGTAAAAGAAAAGATTTAATATATGAAGAAATATTTTATCAATAAATAAGAAATCAATAAATAAGAAATCAATAAATAAGCAAAGTCAAATTGTCGAAAGTTTAAAGTTTTTGGAAGAATTTTTTTTCATAACGAATAAAAGTTGAATAATCCAAATATTATTCGGTGCTGAGATGTGAAAACAAAAATATAAAAATATCCAGATCTATAAAAAAAATAAGGAAGGCTGGAAGTGAAAAAGATATCGATTTTGAATTCAATTTGAACCAAGTTCAAATGCAATATTTGGAAGCTTCGTATATAGGATTTTCTCTTTGACGTAAATATGAATTCGCTCGCATAGGTTATTGCATTTCCCTTTATAAATATCGTTCTTAACTTGTTTTTGTTTTAATCTGTCTTTTATTTTATGAGAGAGGGAGAGAAAGACAGAAAGAAAGAAAGAGAGAGTGAGAGAAAAGCATGAAGAGATACATGTTTGTGTGCATGTGTGTGTGTTTAATTAAATGTGACGGCTAATGAATTGGCGGGAAACGCTTGGAATAATAATGAAGACAGTTTTTACACTCTCTTAGGCACCATCAAAGGAAGACGTTATGAACATTAGGAAACTGAAGACAAAAATTTATCAAATTTTCCTTGTTCATCACATTCAATGAAACATCTATAAAATAAAAATTGCTGCAAAAATATAGCATAATATTATATATACACTACAGTTCAAAAGTTTGAAGCCACCCCTAGAATTAGCATGAGATGAATTTGACGGAAGTGTAAAAAAAAAAAAAAAAAAAAAATCAAAACAGCTCGTAGAGTCATTGAAAAAAGTACGGAATAGAATCAATCAAACTTATACTTTGAGAAACTTTTACAACGAATGCCAAAAATTGGTGGTGCAGTAATTAAGGCTAAAGGAGGATATTTTGACGAGAGTAAAATTTAATTATAATTTTTTTTCTTTTTGTCATAATAAAATTTCTAAAAAAAAAAAAAAAAAAAAAAAATCATGTCTCACTATTTTTTAACAATTATATAAAGATTTTCACCTATTTATTTAAATTACAAAACAACTATTTTGGGGGCTAATTTTAAAAATTATCATAGGTGGTCTCAAACTTTTGAATTGTAGTATATATATATATATATATATATATATATATATATATATATATATATATATATATATATATATAAAAGGACCTTGTTCTCATAGAAATAGAACATAAATTTCAATAAAATTGACGTCATTTTCTACCTTAGGATCCTTTCAACCAACACTTTTAAATACAAAACAATCAATACAACAATAATAATGAAAGAGATTAAAACGTGATTAAAATAAAATAAATTTTAATTGTAAATAATTAACAAAATTAATTTTTATTTTAATCTCGTTTCAACTTTCCTTCCTTTTTCATTATTATTGTTATATTGATTGTTTTGTATTTCACCAACGATTGCCTTTGAAAACCTGTTGGTTGAAGCGCTTTCGGCTATACTTCTAACCCTAATCAAGGATGAATCTGAACGGACATGTAAATTGATACCCTACATTGATTTTTTTATAGAGGCTATATTTGCCTGGTTGTAAGGTTATTAGAGACTGTGAGGTCCATTGTTTTAATTTTTTTATAATATATGATGAGCTTAACTTGTTTATTATTATTAATGGTTTTAATATTTCTACCTATTATGTTTTTAAGTGTTGTTTCATCATGTTTGTAATTATGCATTTAGTTCCAATAGTATAAATTAATAATATCATGTTTATTTTGACGTACACTATTATTATTAATATTATCAATTTTGTTAAGAGATATTATTAAGTTTATTGAGATACATTTTAATTTGTTGATCAATGACGGAATTAGGAAATCCATTATTAACAAGTGTTTGTTTAATGTTATGTAATTTTTTATAGAATATGGTTTTGTAATAAGATATCATTTGTGTGCATTGGATTAAGTTTTTTTTTTTTTTTTATAAAGGTTAGCTTATTTCATTAGGGGCATTCACTATTATAATTAAGAAGACACGAGTTAATGCTAGTGGGTTTTCTATATAGAGAAGTAGTAAATATATGTGTACTGGAATCAATAAATAGATAAAGGAATGGAATTTTGTTATTAATATCGTTCTAATACAAATTTGAGGACGGAGTGACTTTCAAAGTTGTTTCTAAGTTGTGTAATTTGATCAATATTTTTAGCTAAAATGAAAATGCCATCTATGTATCTTACATATATAGGGTAGGGGGGTTGTTAGTGTCATTAAGTAGTTTATTTTCTAAATGTGCTATATAATAATTAGAAAATAAGGGGACCCAAAGAAGATTCCATCGCAATCTCGTCTATTTGAGTATAAATATTATCTAGGGGCTCATGAAAAGGTACTTGAGTGGTACATGCTAATAATAATTTCTAAAAAAATATTTCGTTTAATATTGATGGGTGGGAGAGAAGTGTGATTGTAGACATCACGGATAATGATGAAAATAGTTTCATGGACGGGAACATTAATAAGTAAAATTAGTACATCGAATATAATATATACAGCCAAAAACTATCATCACTCTTGTCTAAAGAGGATATGTTATGGCGAAAGTGAGCATAATTTTTGACTCAGCCAAGTATGTGTATAAAATGTGTGTAATATATATATATATATACATGAATTATTCACACAAAAACTAATGCAAAGGTTAATGATTTAAATGGCGAGACATCCATCATCGCAAACAATTCAAATAATATACAAAAACCTCCGTATCCGTTATGAATGAAATGATCCTTGTTTATATGAATTTCTGCCGTATTAGTTCTTATTTTTACTACAAGCTTTCGTCTGTTCCTACAGACATCTTCAGGTATAGAATAAATGTTGTTCTTGTTTTTTCTCTTAGTAATAAAAGGACAACGAAAATATATGTATTGTTGTATCCGAATTTATGTATTTGAATTGTTTGCGATGATGGATGTCTCGCCATTTAAATCATTAACCTTTGCATTAGTTTTTTGTGAATAATTCATGTATTTGTAAATTGATTGCACGTTTATCGTAATATATATATATATATATATATATATATATATATATATATATATATATATATATATATATGAATGACAATTGGAAAAAAAGGTTCATGGAAGATTTCATTATTTTTACCATACACAAATACATACACACACAACTCACTTTTTCGGCTTCGATGTGATGAAGCCTAATCGGCGAAATGCACATTCGGATGCTTTTTCGAAACATTTTACCGTCATGAACATTTTTCCAATTGTCAATTTATAAGTCTGTCGGGATCATATACCCAAATTTAAACGTATATATTTTAAATGCAAAAACGTTCATGAAAGTATAATGTTTCTAAAAAATATCCGAAAATGTATTTCGCCCATTTTGGGCTTTATCTGATCGAAGGCACTAAAATGAATTGCGTGTGTATGTGAAAGTCAAGGAAAGATCCCCACCCCATCAATACTGGAACGAAAAATCACAGCTTGACTTGAGTAACTTTTTTTTTTTTGAAAAATTCTTTGAAGAGAAAGATTTTATAAATTTTAACCGACTGTAGTACTGGCTGTCGGTCAGTGAATGCTAAATCATTCCTTATAAATATACGGCTAATATTAACATTAGCATTTGAGGAAAATATCGACTAGGTTCATTAATATTTTATTGGAAAACTATGAAGATTTACGAGACCAGTGTATAGCACATGGCAGAATGGACAAAATATATCTTACCAAATTTCGATGCCGCGCTTTTATCACCAATTCGACCTGAAATAAATTCGGATTGTTATCAACAGAAACGAGGAAATATAGGAAGCAGCTTCGAAATTGTGCAGAGGTTGTATCCGTGTGTATTTGTAGCGGAAAAACAATCAACGCCTGGAGGCATCATGAGGTATGATGGGCCACCCTGGGTTAGTCGTAATGATACTCCGATTCCCAAGCAATGTCCTACTCCAAGGTCGCTATCTGATGAATGTTTTATATGCATTTATCATACATGTATATGCAATTTACATAATAATAATATTATATAATCACTTACAAAATATTCAATCACTTCAAAAAACTAACAAAATAGGTACCTCCACAGAAAGCACATTCCGTTTTTGTGGTCTTTGATCACAAAAACGGAATGTGCTTTCTTATTGATATGGCAGCTAATGCAAACTGTGATGTATCTTTGAAGATGTTCAAAAAACTATGAAAATACAAGGATCTTGAAGAGGAAATGTGGCACATGAGGGCATCAATAATTCCAGTTGTATTAGGAAACGGTTTGAATGGAAAAGGTTTTAATAGACTCATTGATGGGCTTCTTGGTAGCTCAAGCCTTAAAGAAATACAAAAAAAAAAATATACTCACAAGTACAGCTCATACATTACGAAGAGATTTATCTATATAAAATATGTGTGTTCTTTGTTGTTTTTTTTGTTTTTTTTTTAGAAAAATGATCAATGGAAAATGTCATGAAGCGATTTCTGACATTAGGTCTCTGGTTGGGATCCGGAAAGAAATATGTATACAAGAGAAATCAAAAAAAACCCTAAGGATATAATTTCTTGATAATGACTGTAACTAATTGCTATTATTTATTTAACGTTAATTTCTATCAAATTTATATGTTGATGTTGTATGTTTCAATATATTAAATTTTGAAGATCTTGAGTTATGAAATTTTATTATAACAATAAAAACGGATAAAAATGTCAAAAAGGAAAAAAACTACTAGGGTAGTTGGTGCAAAAAGAGGAGGAAGAAAAAGGGGAGAAGAAAAGTTTCTTTTACTCCTCTCTTTTACTACCCCTCTTTCACTTGCCCCTCTTTTACTACCACTTTTTTACTACCCCTCTTTGACTTGCCCTCTTTTACTACCCTCTTTACTGCCCCTCTTTGACTTGCCCCTCTTTTACTACCCCTCATTTACTACCCCTCTTTTACTTGCCCCTCTTTTACTTGCCCCTCTTTTACTACCCCTCTTTTACTTGCCCCTCTTTTACTTCCCTCTTTTACTGCCCCTTTTACTTGCCCCTCTTTTAATCCCCTCTTTTAATTGCTCCTCTTTTACTACCCTCATTTACTACCCCTCTTTAATTGCCCCTCTTTTACTTGCCCCTCTTTTACTTCCCCTCTTTTACTCCCCTCTTTTACTACCCTTCTTTTACTACTCCTCTTTTACTTGCCCCTCTTTTACTCTCCTCTTTTACTACCCCTCTTTTAATTGCCCCTCTTTTACTACCCCTCTATTACTACCCCTCTTTTACTACGCCTCTTTTACTTGCCCCTCTTTTACTTGGCCTTCTTTTACTCCCTTCTTTAACTACCGCTCTTCCCCTTGCCCTTTTACTCCCCTTTCTTTTTACTCCCCCTCTTTTACTTCCCCTCTTTTTACTTCCCCCCACTTTTACTTTCCCCCTTTTTTGCCTCTTTTACTCCCTCTTTTACTGCCCCTTTTACTTTTACCCTTTCTTTTACTTGCCCCTTTTACTTGCCCCCCTCTTTTTACTACCCCTCTTTTACTTGCCCCTTTTTTACTACCCCTCTTTTACTACCCCTCTTTACTTGCCACTCTTTTACTACCCCTTTTCTTGCCCCTTTTACTTGCCCCCTCTTTTTACTTGCCCCTCTTTTACTCCCCTCTTTTACTTGCCCTCTTTTCCCCTCTTTTTACTACCTTTCTTTTACTTGCCCCTCTTTTACTCCCGTCTTTTACTCCCCTCTTTTACTACCCCTCTTTTACTTGCCCCTCTTTTACTACCCCTCTTTTTGTGTCAACTACCGTAGTTTTTCTGTTTGTTCATCATTGACACTTTTAATTCTGCCCGTTTTTTTTATTGTTGTAATATCCCCCCCTTCCTTATCAAAATAATAAATAATAAATGAATGAAATAAAAATAAAAATTGATTTGAAATGTGTTCAAATGTCATTTGTATAACGATATTCTAAACGTGAATCACGTTTAGAATCTCGTTAATGTAGATTTTGTTCCGGTGATCATCGGTGAAAAAAAGTATCAAAGTAATTTCTTTTCAATTCTTTCTTATATATTTTCCATTCCGTCGGATTCTGATCTAACTTTACTCTCTCAAAAAAAAAACAAAAAAACACGCGCACACACACAGACACACATTGAGGGTATATGTATGCGTGTGCATGTATGAAGGTATGTGTATATATACCAGTGTGTGTGTGTGTGTGTGTGAAGCAGACTGTAGGTGAAAATGTGAATCTCCACTTTAAGGAATATGAGCGCGATTCCCATTTAGTGCTCAACTATTTTGACATAAACGTCCACAAATCTCCGTATAGGACGCCTACCGTAGAGTAAGGGTTAGAAATGTAGTCTCGCTGACCATTGATAGTGGCGTTAATTTAAACCGTATTCACCCGCCCCTGTACCAGACGAAGGGAAGACATGAGAAAATATCAAATCAAATCAGCTCATTTCATTTCGCGCAGATCTTCGGCTAGATGTAAATGAAGTACCGGGAAACGAGATCGGCGGAAAGGGTTCAAATTCTGGTCACGGCTGTTACACTCACTACTGCTTTGGAGAAGAGGCCTGAATCCATCTTAGCACCTGAAATAGAATAGAATAGATAGATAGATATTAAACTGAATAGGATAGATAGACATGAACAGAATGAGATACATATCAACAGAATAAGATAGATAGATAGATAAATATATATTTATTATTAAACAGATATCAATAGACTGAAAAGGAGAGTTACAAAGTGTATTAGTTAAATTAACAGGAGTTGCAAATGCCAATATATATATATATATATATATATATATATATATATATATATATATATATATGTGTGTGTGTGTGTGTGTGTGTGAGTGAGTGTGTTTATGTATGTATCTATGTATTTAAACAGATAAACACAGAGAGAGAATAAAAGTAAACTGATTTTAACTATGAAGAGATTTAAATTATTAGATGCTTAGTAAGTGAGATGTGTGCCCAGGCCGTGTAAATGCAGATCGATCGATTTATTGATTGAAATGTATGAAGCATGCAACATAAACTGGTATAGATTTCAAATCGGGCCGACTTATGATATCGATTCTTCCTAAACATTATTGATAATCATTTGTTTTGGGCAAGACGGATTTTATTACGCAAAGTGCAACTTGAATAAACCTAAAATATATTATTTTCAGAAACTTATATTATCACATCAACGCGAAGGAAATATTATTATAATTTTACAAGTTAATATCGACTCATTGAGATTCTATAAGCTTCACTAGACTTTAATTCATTAATTATTTTAAATTAACTACACTTGCGTCTTCGACACGGAATATTCTTTTCCTTCCTACATTTTGCTCTTTGTTTGAATATTTTTAGATTCTCTTGTCACCTCTTTTAAAGATGAAATACAAGATTCCTATTAGATTAATATCAGGGGAGGCTTATGCCATTTCATTCATTAGGTGTTACTGAAACATTTTTTCGGCAAAGGTTAAGTACCATTTGCTTGCATGGATATCAGTCAGTAATGTGCAACGCGTGATACACGCTTAGACGATCATGTATCTTTCGATACATGACTGACGGGGCAGATTTTTCCCGCAGTAGGTTGTCATTTCTTTTTGCGGTAGACCAGTTGACATCCAAGGCTATAGAACCCGGTCTGTCCTGCTATTTACCCAGAGATGGGAGGAGAAGAAGAGGATTAATACATTTCCCAATGGTATTAGGACGTAAGTGAATGTAATGGATTCGACTGGAATTCGAACTTGGCTCTCCGATTCCTCAATCCGAGCCGCTATCCATTACTCCACCGTACATGGATATAGTCTTTAGAATAAAGCTCCTTGGTTGTGACGTGTACAACATTTCAAAATGTCCAAGAATTCACAATGATTCTGTACATTTGCCTTGACAGTACGATATTAGCCTAAAACTTTGCTCCGCCTCAGTTATCTTGATATTTGTTGAATACTTCCATGAAGGACCCAAACTCTAGCTCAGCAAGCAAGTCTATCCAATGTAGCTCTACATTCATCCATATGTGGTAGCTTGGTTGTTTTCACTTGAAGATAGATTTTAGTTGTTTTCATCGTTTTAGCCAATTTTTTTTGTTTGTTTTTTGCATCTTTTTATTCTGCTCACAATCGCAATTTTGTTTTAACCATTTCATCTCAAGCAAGATAATAAAGCCACTAAGGCGCAATGGGGGTTAATGAGTATAATAGAATATAAGAAAAAAATAAAATATTATTAAAGAGGGAGAATAATAAAAGAACAGGAATTCAGTCAGTTATGTGCCATGCGTGATACACACATAGGCGATCATGTATCTTTCGACGCATGACTGACGAGGCAGATTTTTTCTCGCAGTAGGTTGCCATTTCTTTCTAGACCAGTTGCCATCCTGCTATTTACCATTAGCTTGTGTGTGTGGGGGAGACGAGGAGGATTCATACCTTTCCCAAGAGTATTAGCACGGAAGTGATTCTAATAGATTTTACTGGAATTCGAACTCGGCTCTAAAAAGACATAAGATAACGATTGATATTGCATTAAAATTTTTCAAGATAAAAGTTGATCGGAAAGTTATAAGCTGGACGAAAATTCCATAAGCGAGAAGAACGAGAGAAGAAACTCTTTCTAAAATATTTTCTTGCTTGTCAATCAAATTCACTTATTCCTCTTTTAATTTTACTCAGTTTTCTTTCTGTGACATTCTTAAAATAATTCTTTTGTTGCTATTGATAACTTGCAAATGTTTTCATCCTTTATTGTACATTGATGTTCGTTCCTCTTATTTACAAACTCTAAAGTTGTGTTCGTATTATTCAATAACATGACAATATCTTGTTCCCCTTCTAAAGTAATATCTTTCCTACGATCCACTGCAATCTTTATATATTTGAAATTAAAACAGAAATATCAATAATTATATTGTTATATATTATATTATTTATAATATAATACACAAATAACGAATTACATAATAAAATCGGCATCATACTATTATATAACTATTCTTCTATTATAACTATTTATTATAAAAACAGATATTATAAGTTGAAAGTCGTATACTAAATTTATTATATAAATAAAATTATATTCTATTTTTTTACTATAATCAGCTGCTTGATCCAAATTTTATTGTGTAAAAGATTGATTTGCATAATAAAAGCTGACGGAGTCTTAATAGATTATCTATGAGACAAACAACCTGCACCAGATAAAAAAAAATCAATTTGCTTTTTCCCAACAACCAGCAGAAAAACAGTAAGAAATTCTTCTATTCCAAGAAGAGTTTCATTTAAAAACAAGAAAAAAGAAAAAAAAAACAATTTTCCTACAAAATTTTATCTATGAGTGTCTTATGATCAAATATTGTCGATAATCCATGAATTCAGGCTAATATCCATATCTTTGTTGTTTTTAACAGTCCGATTTCTTTTTGAATGTCTAAAATGAAGTATTCTCCTGTAGAAGTATTATTCAGACTAGTATCCTCATCTTGGTTGTATTCAACTCTCCAGCCTTCCTAGTGTTGTCTAAAGTTCTCAGATGAAGTATTGTCATTATTCCATGAATTATTCAGACTAGTATCCTCATCTTTGTTTTATTCAACTCTCCAGCCTTCCTAGTGTTCTTGCAGCTGTGGTGATTAATAGAGAGCAGTTTTGTCTTAGAAGCATTGAAGTTGACCAGCCAATTCTTGCCCCAGTTCACAATCGATTGGAGGTCCTTTTCGAGACGCACGGCCAGGTGAGTTTTGTCAGTGAGACTAGATTTGTTTTTGAGGCAGGAATAAATTGTGGTGTCATCCGCGTAGATGGCAACTTGGGAAGTTATGGCGTCAGGAAGGTCATTTATGTAGATAAGGAATAGAGGGGCCTAGGATGGAGCCTTGAGGAACACCTGCGTTCGTGGGATAGGAACTGGATGAGAATCCGTTGAGAACGACCTTAATTCACGGTTTGACAGGAATGATTGTATTAGGTTATATAATCGACCTGTAATGCCATAACCCTGAGCTTGCGAAGAAGGCCAGCATGCCAAACCCTATCAAATGCTTTTGAGATGTCTAGTGCCACGGCACGGGCTTCCTGTTATTTTGAAAAGCTCGGTAGACAGTTTCAGTGATGGCCGTAAGCACATCAGCTGTAGATCGGGCAAAGCGGAAACCATATTGCTTCTTCTGAGAGAAGATTATGGGATGAGGTGACCACATCGGTATTGATTAGGGCTTCGAAGACTTTGCCGAAGAGGGGAAGGAGACTGATAGGACGGTAGTTGGAAGGGTCAGAGGGGTCGCCGGAGTTCTTGAAGACAGGAACGATCGAAGAGGACTTCTTCCAGCAGTCAGGAAAACAAGATTCCTTGAGGCAGTAGTTGTATAGTTTAGAAAGGGCGGGCGCCAGTTCAGGCGCGCATTTCTTCAAGACAATGGCTGGTATCCCGTCTCCACCACTAGCCTTGTTGGGGTCTAAATTGGAGATAACGCCCAGCACCAAAGATGGGGTTATGTTTAACCCACTCAATATGGCCTCAGTTCTAAGAGGGAAGTCGGGTATGGGTACACCGGAAGAGTCGAGCGTTGAGTTGAATGAAAATTTCCGAGCAAAGCATTCAGCCTTGTCGGCAGAGGAGGTCAGGACTTCAAACTGGTTGAATAAAGGAGGTATAGAGGGTTTGCAATTGTTCAATACGCTCTTGCAGAGACGCCAATAATCTTTGGAGCCAAATTTGCGAGATGCAATACGTTCCTTCATCCGAGCCGCAAATAGTGACTTAGCATCGTTAAGGACACGCTTACATTCGTTACG